GTCTGTCTACTATCTGCTATCTGCTAAAATTTGCTATTGATTTGTCTACAGGATCTATTCAAAAAGCCTACTATTGAATTTGTTACGTGTAAAGTCGTGGAAAGCCGTGGAAAGCCGTGGAAAGCCGTTTGCAAGTTAACTACTTGTAAAGCGAGTACTAAAATGGTCACACTTACAAATAAATCTTTGCTCAAAACGATTTCTTACAATCTATGGCATTAGCAAAGCTGTGTTCCAAAGAGAGAACACGGGGCAAAAAGCGATAAAAAGAGGCCAAAGAGGGGTGTCGATCGATGGAGGCTCGCGTCGCCCGTTGCACATATCTGCTCTCTCCTCTCCCCTTCACCCACTCTTCCACATTTCCCCCCGTTCTCTCACTTTCATTTCCCATTTTCCCTATCTCTATTCTTTTTAATCGAAAGCCCTAGAAGGTTCTCGATCTCCTCTCGAAACAAACTCTATAATTTCTCTATCAATCTCTCATTTTTCTTCCCCCTCACCCGTCATCCCCTTCATCCCGTGCTCATCACCTGTAACAAAAGTTCCCCTTGATTTTTCCATCCACCAACTGCTCCACTTTTTTGCAGGATTAAAGTTCCTGATGTCTAACCCGCTTGTCCCTTTTTTTTTCATTGCTTACCATCTTTATCTAATGCTTAAAAATTGAACTTTTAAAAATTATTATGATTATTTTAATGTTGACCTCTCTAATCTTCTCTCTAATCACCAAAATTTTGCAATCAAGAAAAAAACTATCGTATTCTGCTCTTTTGTACTAAAGTTGATGATCTTCTAGATAAAAATTATACACAGAAGTGCAGTTTAGTTGTGAGAGAAAGAATTGATCAGTTGATCAAAAAGCGTGGTTCAATGGGAGCATTTTTCTAGTCAATCACAACGTCACTCCATAGCCACGACACTCTTTTCATCTCTTTCCTTTATTCAATGCGCCTGAAATTTTCCATTTTTGCACTTTTGCGAAATCCTAAACCCTTGTTTTTTTCTGATTCATAGAGATCATTAAAAGTGCAGAGATTTTGTAATATTTATGATTTCATCTCAATGATAAATTTCGCTTGATAAATTGGCGAGAATTTAAATGAATTTCTTATTTTTGAGTTGAATGAGACTTTTTCTATTGTGTATCTATGAAAACAGAGTAGATCGATAGGTTGGGTCGGTCAAACAGTTCACCAAAACTGTTTAATATATTGAATATTCAATTGAATGCTTGAAATGGGGAAATCTGGGAACTTTTGCTAGATGAATAGATTTAAAACACATCTATGTATCGAATAGATCTTTTTATAAGGATTTGAATGTTTATCATCGTCTCTTCAGGTTTTCCTGGCTTTTCTTTTGTTTTTTTTAGCTTATTTTGTTAGCTTTGAGTTCGCTTAATAATTTGGACCTAATTCGCTTAATAATTTGGACCTAAAACAATGCAAAACCATGATCAATAGTTAGATTTTGTGTGTCTAGATGATTGGGACAGGTGTCCCCATCTAGCTCTAACCTGCGATTACCCATATCGATTCCCTCACTTAGATAAGCATCATATGACTCCTTTCACCTTTCAACTCATCGCTCACTTCACTTCAACTCATCGCTCAAGACTCAAACTTTATAGACTACCTCTAAATTTGTTCAAAATTTATGGCTACTAAATTCCCTCAGACAGTTTCATTTCATTTTAATGACAATTAACCATTTTGACACAAAAATATCAGCTTTGTGCTAAGATTTTAACGATTAGTTTACCATTATGATTAAGATTATGATTTTTTTTTCAATGATTAGATTGATCAAGCCATTAGTTTATTTTCTGTATCTAGTTTTGTTTATTGACAAGCATTGACATTCTCATTTTTGTTTTTTCTTTATGTTAACACCAAGCCAAGCTTATTCAAACGAATTTCTAAGCTCAACCAGATCCATTAGAAATTAGCATACCGTAAATGCCGTATTATAATGAGAAACTTGTAAGGAATCTGTGTCTGATCACCTCAAATTTCAGCTTTTTCTAATCTCTTTAATCTTTCATTTCCAAGAATGAGAAAGTTCAGACGTTTATAAAAACAGAAAATAGAAAGTTGAAACATTAAATGAAAGAGAGAAAACGAGAAAATCAATTAAGAGAACGCGATCTGAACCAAGCAATCAACCATTGCTTATTCAGCAGAGAAAGAAGAGAAAGTGGCACAGAAAAACTGTGTTGCCGATTTCTACGTTTATTTTTCGTTTTGAGTTGTGTTTTTCAAAGTTTGAGGTGGATAACTTTAAAGATTTTTTTCTAAAATAGCTGAATTTCTAAAAAGCATTGATTTCCTCTGAATAACTCATTTCACAGAAGACAAAAACTACTTTTAACTGTTTTACTGGAGGGAATTTCCATTTGAAATTAGCATACCGTAAATGCCGCTTTATAATGACACCCTCTGACCCTGACCCTCTGACGAAATCTTGATTTTAAACACCCCTTGTAGGAGTTCTATAGATAGAACTGGACCTAAAAAATTTTATCGGCAGTAAATTTTAAAAAACTATTTTTGAAAAAAATTGTAACGGTCCCCCAAATGGATAGAAAATAATTTCATGGTAAGAAAGGTAAGAAATGGTAAGAAAATGGTACCGTAAATACTGTAATAGTACTAGTAATAGTATAGTAAATAGTAATAGTAATAGTAATAGTAATAGTAATAGTAATAGTAATAGTAATAGTAATAGTAATAGTAATAGTAATAGTAATAGTAATAGTAATAGTAATAGTAATAGTACCCCACCCCCATAATGACGGTGCGGAATGTTGTGTAGTCTAGCTTTGAACGAGTTTTTCTCGACACTGGTTTATGCTACAATGCGCGCTTAGGTATCAAAAAATAGCCCTGAAATTCAGGGCTATTTTTTGATACCAAAGACTTTTTTGAAAATACGGGCGCTTTGAAAAAATGAAATACTAAAAACTTTTTCACTACACGTCTCTGAGGGGGTGGGGTACTATTATAGTATTTATGGTAGATCATTTCACTTCATCAAATCTATCGGATTTGTTCTTTGTCTTGCAAGGATTTCAACATCCTACCCTAAATGTAATAGTACCCCCCAATGACGGTGCGGAGCGTTGCGTAGTCTAGCTTTGAACGAGTTTTTCTTGACACTGGTTTATGCTACAATGTGCGCTTAGGTATCAAAAAATAGCCCTGAATTTCAGCTATTTTTTGATACCAAAGACGCATTTTTTGAAAGTAAAGGCGCTTTGAAAAAAATGAAATACTAAAAAACTTTTGCGACTACGTGACTGTACGAGGGGGGTGAGGTACTATTATAGTATTTACGGTAAGAAAATAATGGTAATTACGGTAAGAAAATAATTTCACTTTTAAACGTTTTTTTCTACCTTTTTGACAAAGGATTATCGTGTTTAAAATAGTTTTTAAAAAATTCCAAAATTTTTTGATTCATGTGGCCCCCTCGTTACCTATTTTTTTGAATCGGATTTTGAGGGGTTGAAAAATAGAATGACATGCCATTCTAATACAGAATTTAGGGTAGATTCGTTTTTGCTTCTGAAACATTTCTCATTTCTGCCAAAAATTACCAGAAAATTAGAATCGATAGCTTTTTTTGAGTTTAAAACTATTTCTGAAATATTTCTCATTGCTTTTCTTTCAACAGACACATTTGAATTTCCGTTTTACTAATTCTTTCCTCTCTAGTATTCATTTTTATTCATCATTTCCTCCTTTTTTCCCTTTTTCCTCTATCATTTTCTTTTTATGTGAAGAGAAGTAATTCCAAACAACGCCATTTTCCAATGAATTATTAAGCAAACAACCATGATCTTACTTAAATATGAAAAAAGGAAAGCTTTTTGATCGGTTAAGAATTAAGAATTAAAGTGTTTCGATGAGCTTAGGAAGTTTAAAATTGGATTGGAACTAGGGCAGATCAAAAGCTCAAAAACCATTGCCGCGACTCGAACCCGCGACCTTTCGCTTACCAGGCAGATCTGCTAACCATTACACCAGAACGCACTTGTTCTCCTTTGCTTCAGGGGGAGTTAAGTACCCAAGATCAGAGTTGTTTCGAAAGTAATTTTATCGGGCTAGATCTGGCCAGGTTTAGATCAGACCCAAGTACAGGGTTGTTTTAAAAATACCTAATTTGCGAGGTAAGGCTAGGTTTTTCCAGGTCCAATCAAGCCCAGTCATCTAGCTACTGGCCAGGCTTCGATTTTGTCTTACCTTGCCTAGATTACTTGCAATTTGCTAAATCAAACCAATTACCTTCACCTGGATATCAACCAAATATTCGAGTCACTCCAAAACACGATTTTAACGCTGGAATTTGCAGAACTTTGAAAAATTTCCCTTTTACTACACTAAAAAGACCTTGAGTCGAGGATATAATCTTGTTAGACGCACGCACTTAAAAAAGAGAGAGAAAGAGATGATCCTTAGACGACTCTTTCTTTTAAAATGACGTATTTCACCTGTTTCACTCGTTCACAGACCACAGAGATTTCTGTCGCTTAAAATTCACGAATTCATTGAATGAAACTCTTTTTTTTGGTGTCTGGAAAATTTCTGTACTTATTTTATGTTGAGGTTAAGGTAAAACACCTGTTCCCGCCTACGATCTTTTCTTGTTTTGTTCATTTTAAATAGTACTTTGAACTCTTTCTTTAAAACTTGCTTATTCTTAGAAAAGATTAAATATTAAACCGAAAACATCAAATTAAAATTTCAGATTTGTTTGGAAAGATTCGAAACTTCTGCAGACGATTTTTTCGATTCACTGAAAGCTAATCTGCTTGAAAAGTAAGCAATGGCAATTTCAGTCAACTCTTATAATTATAAATTTAATAATTCTTTCATTTAAACATCTAAAACTTTCAGAAAATTTCAGATACCATTACCGTGAAGTGAAATCGAAATTGATTTGATCGAAAACTCTCAAAGAATCACAACAAGAATACCCATTTGGGTTTCAACTCAAGAATGGCTCAAGAATCGTTTCTCTCATTTCTCGGGATCGATTTCGCTGAAGAGCTTCGTTTGAAAGAACATATCGCTCCAAATGCAACCGCTTTGATTGGAAAGACTCCAATGGTTATGTTAAGAAATGTCACGCATGGATGTTATGCAAAAATCGGTTATTGATTCTCAATATTTCTTGATGAATTTCAATTTTAGCCGCAAAGCTCGAATATTTGAACCCAGCATGTTCTGTAAAAGATCGAATCGGATATGCAATGGTGACCGCAGCTGAAAAGCAGGGACGGGTTGGTGATATTTTGCGGATTATCTGTGCTTTTTTTTATAAAATTTGAGAAAATAAGGTTTAAATAGAGATGAAAACACAAATTTTTAGATAATTCCTGGGGTGACGACACTGATCGAGCCAACATCGGGCAACACTGGAATAGCGTTGGCCTTCATTGCGGCTGCTAAAGGATATCGACTGATCTTAACAATGCCTTCATCAATGAGTTTTGAAAGAGTGAGTATTATTTACGATTAGTTTTAGTTTTTAAATTTTAAAAATCTTTAAATTTAGCTAGATTTTAGTTAGATTAGATCTTTGTAAATATTTTAAAAATGACAAGCCAGCTCAAGAAGAATTGGCAACGTTAAAAAAAGCAGAAGCCGATCTAGGGAAAGATTGTTTAAAGAAGGATAGAAGTTCCTAATAATTAAAAGTTTTCACTCTTGCGTAGTTCCCGGGTATTTTGGAAAAATCCGGGTATTTTGAACGCGTCGTCACGCTTTGAAAGCCTATAACTTTGTCCAGAGATAATATTTTTGTTAACTTTTTATATCATTGTACAGAGAACATTTTAAACTTTAAATGGTACCAAATAGAACTTAATTGGAGAATCAAGTTCAAGAAAATCAGAGCCAACCCTGCGCAAATGAGGCCTATCCAACTCGGGTATCGTGTCGCCTTGTTTGCATGGGAATGAAAAATTCAGTCAAGCTCTATTTGGTATCATTTGAAAGCCTGAAATGTTCTCTGTATAATGATATAAAAAGTTAACAAAAATATTATCTCTGGGTAAAGTTATAGGCCTTCAAAGCATGACGAGCTGTTCAAAATACCCAGATTCTTTCAACCACTTTCAACTACACAAGAGCCAAAGTTTTTAATTTCTAATAGAATTTCTAATAGAATTTCTAATAGTTTCGTGATTTAACAATTATTTTCAATCGACTTTTTAGAGAGTTCTATTGAAAGCTTATGGAAGTGAAGTGGTATTGACGGCCCCGGAATTGGGGATGCAAGGATCAATCGATCGAGCTCAAGAACTTCAGGCCAACATTCCCAACTCCTACATCCTGCAACAAGTAAATATTTTATCATTTATCTAAGCTTAAAATAGAAACTTATGTATGGCATTTTTGTCTGAATACGTGCAAAATCCTTTTTTCTTCAGCCAGGTGCTACTTTTTCACCGAAATACCGAAACAAGGAAATTTTTGCGTTTTATACTACTAAAGCACCTGTTTGAAGAATTAGAATTAATGCTTCAGAAATCAAAAAATCTTTTAAGTTCGAGAATCCGGCGAATCCACTCATTCACTACCAAACGACAGGGCCCGAGATCTGGGAGCAAACGAATGGAAAAGTGAGGGGTTTTAGAGACTAATCACGGATCAGAAATGTAGAATTTATTAGATAAAATATTAGACTTGATAACTATTTAAACTTGTTCATCATTTAAAGTTCAGGTTGATGCGTGCGTCTTCGGAGTAGGCACTGGTGGAACGATTACCGGAGTTGGGCAATTTTTGAAGGAAAAGAACCCCAACATCAAGGTAGGATTTTGCTTTTTAGACTAGGCTTTTTTGAATTAAAATCTAAACGACTTAGATGATAAAAATCTCTTTAGATCTATGCAGTTGAGCCAGAAGAGGCAGCTGTTCTCTCCGGTCTTCCATCAGGTCCTCACAAGATTCAAGGTCTTGGCGCTGGCTTTATCCCGAAAGTTCTCAACACAAAGATCTATGATGAAATTATTACGGTAATTTTAAACTAAAACATCTTAATATTTTAAAGAGACTATCGTTTCCAGGTACATTCTGACGAAGCAGTGATCATGAGCAAAAGATTGGCGTTGGCTGAAGGTCTCCTTTGTGGTGAGTAAAGCTTTTGGATCAGATCTTTATATAAAAGCATTATTAGCCCTGTACTGTTTGAAGCTTTATCAGGAATCAATTTTCAGGAATCTCTTCTGGTGCTAACATTTGCGCCGCATTGAGGGTTGCCTCAAAGCCAGAAATGGAGGGAAAACTGATCGTAACTGTGTTGCCTTCTTTTGGAGAACGATATTTGTAAGTTGTGGAAGAATTTAGTCTAGTGATGAAGTGCAAAAGTTATCTAGCTGATGTTAAAATCATAAATTCAGATCTTCCAATCTCTACTCGGATATGCGAGACCAAGTGATGACGATGGGCGTCGAATCTTTGGAAGAGAATTTGAGGCATTTACGGCTACATGAATATCAGGTAGATTTGGATTTTCTTGAAACAAAACTACCGTATTTACTCTATTAGTGGGGTCCCCCACTATTTTTTCAATCCCCTTCCAGACGACCCCACTATTAGAGAGGACCCCACTATTAGAGAAATTTAAAAGAACATAAAACCAAAGTTTTAAATTGAAAAGATATCAATTTTTCTCCGAAATTCTTGACAAAACAAGCTTGGCTTCATATTTTATTTAGCTTTAACCGTAACAAAACATTAACAAACAGTAAAAGAACTAATCCAAGAGATCAACAATTGATGTATCACTTTCGTTACCAATATCTTCTTCCAATTCGAGAGGACCCCACTATTTTTTCAACCCCCCTGCAGACGACCCCACTATTAGAGAGGACCCCACTAATAGAGTAAATACGGTAAATTTGATCAATAGTAACCTGATCTAGTGCTGAATTAAATATCTAATAATCTGAATAAACCTATTGGCTCAATGTTAGCCTGTACAAACCACTGTAACTTTCTTTAGCATTGATATTTTTGATTGTGCTTTGGTTCATTCGAAAGCTCTTGAGATTCTCTATTTTTTTGAGCTATAGATCATATCAATCCAGTAGATTTGAAGCAAGTTAGAAGCGTTTATAGTTTACGTTTGTAGTTTGTAGTGCCACTGTCTAGTCTAGGCCTAGGGAATCAGTAACAATGGAGTACTGGCCTGTACCGGCCTCTGACCCTGTCAAAGTACTAGCTATGGAGTCAGTTCTTTGACAGGGTCAAAGTACAAACCTGCTTAGGTAACGGTTTAAAGTTAAAATTCACTAGATTAGAACTATGCAACAGATCTTGTACAGTACTTTACAAGCAATCATTTTCCTTTCAGGTAATGGAACCGCTCGATCCCGATCTCATCAACAACCATCATCTCCACGGTCAACTCCCTCTTGGCGTCGACGAGGAATTGATGCATTTCGACGCATCCAATTAAGCCCAAACTGGCTACAACTCTTCAAAATGATCTCTCTAAAATGCAGAAAACGGTGAGTAATAAAAAAAAATCTGAGAATATAATAAAACTCTACAAGTTGCATTGCAGGGTTCATCACATCGGCCATTGTCGTCAAAGAGGTCCTTCAGCCTTTTCAGCCAGTCTCATCCTAATGTTCAAAGAAAAGAAAAAGCTCTCAAATTATAAATTTTTACTGTCTAATCAAATTTAGTGCAAACTATGCCCTAAAACATTTAACTTTCCCTTCTTCGGTCATTGGTGCCATGATCTTTTCGTTCAGGGCTCTTTTCAGTAATTGTCTGTAGGTGAAAAAGATCTTTCCTTTTCTCATAATCTTACGGTTCCCTGTATCTAAGATTCCCCAAAACTATTGATTGCTGCTCCTCTTTTTGAAGTTTTCGTTTCCTATCCTTTCTAATAGCTTGAGGGTTTAACATTTTTTTTGTGTGTGGATAATAAAATATCGCATGTATCAATCAAAAGTAACACTTTAGAATAAAATAAGAAAGTATTTCGATATGTCTGTCTTGTTAAATAGATAGAACCAGTTTGCTTTAGTGAAAATGCTCAATAACAGTCTTCAAATGTCATTTGTACCTTGTATTGTGCTTTTCTCAAAAGATCAATCCTTTCAATGCAATATTTATTCCAAAAACTATACAGAAACATTTGAATAAGACCCCGGTAAAGGGACCAAATTCTTCCTGAGTTTTGTGGGTGTTTAGGCGACACGAGCGGCTTTGCGACGATATTGTTGAGCGGCTGGTGGAGCCTGAGTTTGAGCTGGAGCTGGTGGAGCTGGTGGCTGTTCGCTGCCTCCTCCAGTGATGGCTCCGGTTCTGAACAGTTTTAAGTAAAGCTACAGTCTACATTACTTTCAAGCTATATTTCTCACGTCATAATCTAATTTCTTACCTTGGTGGGCATGGACAATAAGCGGCATCGGGTCCGGGGGTTCCATCAGTGCCTGGGCCTCCAGGTTGTCCATCGGCTCCAGCATCTCCATCTTTTCCGGGTCCTCCAGCAGGTCCAGCGGGTCCTGGAGCTCCAGCTGGTCCAGCGTCTCCATTAGGTCCAGCAGGTCCAGCTGGTCCGGGTGGTCCAGCGGGTCCAGGTTGTCCAGGTTGAGAGGTATATTTCTTGCCAGGCTCTCCAGCGGGTCCAGGCTGTCCATCGTTTCCAGGTTGTCCATCTGGTCCAGCATCTCCAGCAGGTCCGGGTGCTCCAGCGGGTCCAGGGCCTCCAGATTGTCCATCCTCTCCAGGGTTTCCATCAGGTCCAGCATCTCCAGCAGGTCCATCAGGTCCAGGTGGTCCAGCTGGTCCTGCAGGGCACACTTGGCATTCAGAGCTCTTGGCCTCAGCCTGGGCGTCCTTTCCTTTGCCTCCAGCCTGTCCAGCGTCTCCAGGAGCTCCATCATCTCCAGGAGCACCAGGTTGTCCAGGTGGTCCGGGTGGTCCAGCTGGGCATGGGCTGGCTTGAGCTCCGCACTGGCATTGTCCACCAGAACGCTTGTTTCTACCAAGGATGAAAGCAGCAGCTCCCTTCACAGTCGATGAGACAACCATTTCACGCCAAGCACTCTCAGCATATCCCTAAAAATCGGTAAATAATTTCTAGAATTGATCACCTACTCTAAACTCTTCAATATCACGGCGAGTCTCGTCATGGAAGTTGTTGATGTCATTGAAAAGATATCCAACGGTGGTCAAAGCGGCCACAATAGAGACAGCACAGCCAACAGCGGCCAAAGTCGTGATTGCCTGATAAAAAAAACTGTAAGATTACTTTAAAACAGTCAAGAATCCAAGGCTCAGACTTATTAAAACTTTAAAAGATCAAATTCAAATCAAAAAAACCAACCTTAGCACTCATTTCGGTAAAGTCGAAGAAGTCAGAAGCTTCCTGTCAACTAGGCGATCACTCTGGCTTATATACTGCCGCTAAACTGTTCACTCCCTAACTTTTTCTCTCAAGTTTCCGTTTTGGCAAGCATTTGACCTTCTATTCAACATAAAGAGAGACAAGTATTTAGTGTTTTCGATTCGATATGACTCTTTTGTGCAGCTCTCTTTTCTCTCATTGGAGTCATTTGACGGCCGCTTTAGGCAGTTTTCCGCTTTTCCTTTTTGAGTTCATTTTTTGCAGGAAATTGAGAGAGATATCGAGAGTTTCTCCTCATTATAAAAAGAACTCATTTACGATTTCCCTTCTGATTGTCTTTTGTGTCGTCAAAAGTTGTAAAGAAAGTGAAAGTTCGAAATTGGACAGCTCAAGTTTTCCCCTAAAGCTAATTGTTTTAGTCATGACACAATCAGATAAGCTTTGACTCGTTTCACAGCTCAATTATATCATTTTATTAGGCTCTAACAAAACCCACGTGTTTTAGTATTGAACTTCAAGCTATAAAGCTATTTTTAGATCCTCAGATTGCGGCAGCAGTACGAAAATTGTCTTCTTACATCAAGAAACAGTTAAAATTGTCTTTAGATATGTAGATATTGTTGGAAAACAAGTTTCACTTGATTCTAAGTTTCTAGGATTCTATTGAATCCAGAAAAAGGCTCCAATTAGAGAAGAAAATATCAAAAATTCAACAAAGATATTCCCAGTGACTTGTACAAAGTGGCACAAAGTCCTTGAGGTAAAAATTTGCTCTTTGTTTTATCAATTTTTTTCTTTTCAGATCAAATACTATAAAAGAGCTCTTTAGAATTCTCTTGAGAGTTTTTCCAGTTAAAATTTGATAGTCTAATCGAATGATAGCGAAATTATAGAAGAAAAATCGGGTTGTGCTTTGATATCTTTAGATTCAGAGCTTTGATCTTTCAGAATCACTAAAACACTTGAAAATCTAGAGTTTTAGGTTTAAATGGTAAACTGTAAGCCAAAAAGGAAAGCTAAAAATAAAGTCCAAAGAAAGCTAAAAAGAAAGCTAAAAAGAAAGTCAAAAGAAAGCTAAAAAGAAAGCTAAAAAAGAAAGCCAAAAATTTAGAGCTCATTAGAATAAAACAGAGAACAAAAAGGAGTTTCGCCTTAATTTCTTTCATTCATCTTTTCTGGATTTAAAAGGCGACTCAATTGGTATGCAATGAACGGCTAAATGAAAATGAAATGGAGAGAAAAGGCTCCATTTTGAGCTAAAAAAGCTCAGTCTTTTATGAATCAGTGTATTTAGAAGTCTATTGATTCCAAGCTTGGGATTTAACCAAGAACAGTTTTATCTTAGATTCTTAGATTCTTAGATTTAGGTTAAGAACAATATCTAATCTTTATCTTACTGATGATAAGATCATTTTTAACTCACTTACTATTAGATAACAAGTTAGACATTATTTTTTAAACTACAGACTAGCCTGTCTGTTGAAACTACAGACTACAGACAAAAATTTAGCAAAACCAGATGTTTGATAGAGTCAAGCTCCGGCTTTATTCTTATAAGTAAAGAATTTTGTGACAAATTTCGTTCCTGCTATAACCAGATAGCATTTTAGAATGGATTCGACCGATTTTTGGGTCAATCAAACGCAAAATTAAACCCAAAGCTCTTTCCTACAATCCTATAATCCCTAGAATGCAAAAGTCGGATTATTTCAATCCAACTTTTCCAAATTTCCTCAACTCCCTTCAAATCTAAGCAGTCAACATCTCTACCCAAACTCTCAGCCGGAAATTCGAATCATAAATCGATTAAGTTTTCAAATTGTATTTGGAAACACATCAAATACTTACAAGAATTTGAAACCTTGAATCAAAATGAATCAACTTCTCTTCAATAAAACTGTCAAAGCTCAGTTATATTATAAAATTTATCAAATAACTTCTTGAAATTTCCAATCTTCCGCGTTTTTCTGCAAACTTTTAATGATCAAAGCTCTTGGCGTTCAAAATTCTGACCTTATTCCTTGAAAAAAACCCAAAAATGACTTTAAAATTACTTTCATCATCACGAAATTTCATAAACTTTCAGTAATAGAGTTTTAGAGAAAAATTATTTTTAAAAAAACGAAATAATTCTCTTGAGACATTTTATCGCTGAATTATTTCAGGAAAATGAGTGAATTTCTTTGAAAATTCTTTCTTATGATCGAATTTTCGCAATCATGACGCGTTGATTGAGTGACATATTTGTTAGAGGAAAGTTGGCGATTCCATTTTTGATATTTTTCTGTTTATAATATCTTAATACCTTTTCTGAGTACACTGTTGGAACTAGTTTGTTTATTTTCTAATTGTAAAATGTTTGTTTCCTGTTTTTTCTATTCTTTTACTCCTTGGAACTTGAAAATCTGGTCGAAAATGAAACTATAGCTTAAAGATTGCGATAAACAATTATGAAACGAATTGATTAATGAATTAAAAGAAAATAAAGAGATTACTCCGAGTGTTATATATCATTTTAAAGCTCTTAATACTATAAAATACTAGGGGGTGGGACAAATGCGACCTTTTTTTTGCGCACCTGGACATTTGCGCACCTTTTTTTTGCTGGAAAAGGCCTTAGGAAAGGCCGTAGAGCTTCAAAAATGTTTTCATACAAGGGAATCGTATGCGTAGATTCCGAATTTCGACAAATCAAAGCAAATCAGACCTCGCTGACACGTTAAATTTGAGCTAAAAGGCAAAAACTACGCAGCTTAACGCTTTTCCGCAGTTTTTGCCTTTTAACCCAAATTTGACGTGTCAGCGAGGTCTGATTTGTCGAAATTCGGAATCTACGCATACGATTCCCTTGTCTGAAAACATTTTTGAAGCTCTACGGCCTTTCTTAAGGCCTTTTCCAGCAAAAAAAAGGTCGCATTTGTCCCACCCCCAAATACTATAAAATAGAATCTCTAAATCAAAAATTTGATGTTAATCTTGTAAAAATTGAAAGACCTAAACGTGAACCGAAGTAATTTTCCAAAAATTTCCAACAAGTTCCAACATTTTAAACGATATTTTGTTCTGCAAATGTTCGTTTTCAATCTTTTAACAAAATATTATTAAAACTTTTAGATTTAATCTGTTAAAAACTGTTTTTGAATCTTTGAATTTTTCTCAAAACACTAATTTTCTTTACCTTTTTTTTCAATTTCTATCAGAACTTTTTCTTAAGTGTATTAAGTGTATTTACTGTAAATTCTTAAGTATATTTACTGTATATATTGTAATTGAAGGGCATGCTCTTCTATTTTTTCCCTATCCTTTTTCGAACTCTCGAAAAAATCACAGAAGGGACGACCATATCAATATTTTTTCAAAAATCTTTTAAAATCTCTCTAACTCAATTGGAAATGCTCTAAAATGAACGAAAAACATGTCTAAAACAAGAAACATCCGCGTCCACATCCGCGCATGCGTTTTCTATAGGATCGACAATGAGTGGAAGTGGAAGGCATGAGACTTCAGGAAAAGTAGTAACAGATTCTAAATGTTCAACTCGAAAACTGAAAACTTCTTTACCAGAGAAAATTCTTTACCAGAAATGAATGTAAGTACAATTTTCCGATTTTTCACCGGTTTCCGATTTGATTCCATCAATTTCTAAAGGTTCTCTGTAGTGAAAACTCATCAATTTCTCATCTGTTCAAGAATTTTCTGCAAAAAAACAATTGTAAATTTGTTTTTATTTCAAAATGAGCTCCGAAGCCTTTAAAGGAAAAAATTTCGATACTTACGGGTTTCCTCTGTTCAAATGAATGTAGTTTTGGCTGGAGAATTTCGAAAATTTAAATCCTTTTCAAATCAAATCCATTTTCAAGTTAGTCTTAAAGCTAAAATAATGAATATTTTTTTTAAAACGAAAGCAATTCTCAATCGAATTCTAGTCAATGTTTGAGTCAATAATCTTTAGATCAAATGACTCCATTCTCTTTCACTTCGTTTTCCCATTTCAAGAAAGGCGATCCTAATTTGAAAAAAAAGCTCATCAAGGCTTGGGTTTCATATTAGAAAGGGAAATTCTTTTGAAAAGCCAAGAAAAATCAAGAGCGAGCTCCTGAAGCACTTACTTCAAAATCCGCTCAAAATTCGTCAATATTTTCAATGTTCAAGATATCAATCTCATTCTTTTTTAGCTATTTTTTGTTCAGCCTTGTTTTTTCTTATCAAAATGTTTCTTTGAATAAAACAAAAAATTGGAAATGATGTCAAAAATAGAAGGCTCTTGGCTCCCTTTCAACTCCCGCCTTCTCCTCCATTTTCCCACTTAGATATTCTCGACGAAAATGATCTAGTTTTTGCAAAATTCAAATCACTCCTTTGATTCTGGTAGAGGAATAGATGAAAAGTCACTTTTTATAATCCAAAAGTGATTTGAAAGTACTTTATTAGAGAGATTGGATCGTAGCCAGTTGACTTAATTCAGTTCAACAATAGTTCAAAGAATATTTTCAGATCTAGTCGTTTTATTTGGAGAGCTGGTCTGGAAAAGTTCAAGAAACATTGATCTAGCTAACTTCTCAAGTTAGCTTCCTGAAAACATATTAATTTTCGGAAAAACCTTATAAAAGTAACTGGTCAAAAGTAACTGGCCTTCTATTTTGGAGAGCTGGTCAAAGTGTACAAAAAGTACAGCCTGTTTACAAAATGCGCCAGCCAAAATAATGCGTTTGCTGTTAAACCCATTTTCCTTCCTTGTTTTCATTGGATTTAGAAATAAAAATAAGCTATTTGCTGAATTTTTTGAAGCCATTTAAAACAAAACTGCGATGAGAAAATGCCAAAAAAAACAAAAAAAGGCTTAAAAAGTGGTTAACTGAGCTTTTCTAGACATCAATTCCGTTTTAAGTGATCACAAAGTATGCATGCATGCAAAATGTAGATAATTTTATTCTGTATTCAATAAAAAATAAGTAACACAAATTTAAATCAAATTTAAACCCAAACGCATTATCGTTTTGCGTTGCGCTTTTTGCTGTCTTGACCAGTTTTCTTTAAATTTCCATTTGAATGACTAATTGTTCTAATTTTCATTTAAAAATGGTGGAATTTTGAGTAATTCAGCGTTTTTCTCATTGTTTTTCTCCTTTTTTTAAAAAAGTGTCAACTTTTAAAGAGTACCATAGATCCTAGAAGAGAAGATCTCCGTCTTCTTTCTTCGTTTCACCTTCATCACCTTTCTGTCGATGAGTGGAACGTCTTTGAGTAACAAACTATTTGATTCATTAAAATGACATTAAATATAACAAATAGCACGACGGTAAGGTTACTTTTATAAGGTTGTTCCGAAAATTAAGATGTTTTCAGGAAGCTGACTTGAGAAGTTGGCTTGATCAATGTCTCTTGAACTTTGTTTAGTTCGCCTTCTAGCCCAACAACAATTTCAATCGATTTCTTTTCTAATTCAATTCAAAGAAAAGACATCTAATTGCTTGACTTTGAAATTTTATTGGTCTTTTTCTTCAAAAATTGAAAAAGGGAAGATATCGTCAAAGGCGACTCGTGGAAAGCGTTCATTAGGCAGATGAGCGGGAAAGGAAATGAAAGAAAAGGAAAGGAAAGGTGAATTTCATTCCAGATCGGCTATTTTTCTATTTTCCTTTAAAATTCTCTTCAAAAAAGGCTCATAATGAAGAGTTAAAACATCTGTTATCAGAAAGAGGAAATGCCCAAACTTTTTTCGAGGTCAAATTCTGATTCTCGTGATTCAATAATTCTCATTTTCTTTTTGTTTTTGAATCTTTTTTTTTGCTTTCAGGTGATTTTTAGTTTTACAAAAAGATTCCTAAACTTCTTGAACTTTGATTGAACTATTTCTGATCAAAAAAAATCTGATTTTCTTTGATTTGATGATATTTACAATTTCACAATGTAAATACTCGATATTTTGATTAAATTTCGGAACTTTTAAATGATCACTGAATTAAGTGAGCTCTTGAGCTTTGAAATGAAAGGAATTCCCATCAAAATTAGCTAAACTACAATGGAATTCCCTAGTTGATTTCAAATTTTGTTCAACTTTTGAGCAAATTTCTTGTTTTTTTGTGCTAATTTGAAATTCTGCTGAAATTTGATGATGTTTCAAAAATGGAGGGAAATGGGAAGGAAGTTTGTTTGGAAAAGAAAGCGTTTAAGAATATTTACAATATCAATATTTAATATTAACATCAAATTTTATTAAGCAAAACAATCTTTTTACATCTAATTCCATTAACAAGTTGAATTAGATCAATTTGAAGAGCATTTTTGAATTCCTTGTGCCCTTGTTCCAATCCCGAGCCAAAACCAAGCCAACTACTAATTCTGTTTAATGTTAATGGTTAAAAGTAAACATTTTTATGAGAAGTAGTTTGAAAAAGATGGAGAGTATTTGAAATGATGAAATGAAATGAAATAATCATTTGAATATTTAAAATCGAGATCATTTACCGCTCAAAAAGCAGGAAACAGTTAACCCGCGGACTCGAACTCGAGAGGGTTTGCCTTGTATCCTACTGATACAAGGCAAACCCTCGATTGGTAATGTAACATTACCACTCGAGGCGACTGACTACCACTCGGCCACCAGATCCGCGGAAATCTGTCTATCGAGGAATGTTTTTGAAAATTCCATACAAAACTTTGAGCGCTGATAACTTTTGATAGAGTGCTCCTGAGAATAAACTGAAAGCAGATTCAGAATCAAAGTAAAATTCTGCGTTGGATAGTTTATGGCTTATGTCATTTGGTCAGCATACCCGGTTGATATTTCCTTGTAAGTAGGTTTTATTAGATTGGATGTTGGATAACGAGTTTACCTCCTTGATTGCTAGTTTGACGTGCCTAAAAAAGCTGTGTTTCGATATATTCAGCACAGGTCCGCAGTTCAACTTTTTCGTTTGCTTTTATTAATTTGAATAGTTTAGGTGTTCTTTGTACGATCGTAGTTCATCCTAACAAAAGTTTACACGCTGATAACTTTTGACCAAGTGCCCCTGAGAATAAACTGAAAGCAGATTCAGAATCAGCGTAAAATTCTGCGTTGGATGGTATATGGCTCGTGTCATTTGGCCACCACACCCGGTTGACCTTCTCTTGTTAGTAAATTCTTTTACCTTGATTTCTGAAATCCTAAAAAATCTAGAATTTTAGCCTTTGGCTTGATAAATCTTGATTTTTTGCTTCCACTACTTCCGACTGATCGTTCAAACACCAAAATTTTTTGCAAAACTCTCAAAACTTTCTTCAATTCTCTTTTATGATCCTAACTAACCAACATTTCCCTCAAAATACCCAAACAACAAAAATATTTTGCCTATTTCGGTTCAAATTTCTCAAGATCTTCTTTCTTTTACCCAAAAAAACAGTGTTCGTTGAGCTCATTAGCTCAAAAGAAAAGACGAAAAAGAGAATCTAACGAAGAAAATGAAGTTTACGCTTTTCTAGTGGTGTACTTTCACTCAAGTATCTTTTTTTTAAGGAAAATTTCAATTTGTTTGATTTAAAAAGTGAATCCCATGAGAAATCTCGGATTCTCACAGAAATTTCTCATCTCTCACGTTTCATTTACTAATGATATCTTTCTGAAGATTCTCTCTCATTTTTTCTCTCTCATTTCTCATTTTTCTTCTCAATTTACCTTTTCTGGAAGTTCATTTAGCAAAGATTTTATGTAAATGCTAGAATATTCTATGGTTTCTTTGTCATTACATCATGGATAAGCTAAAAAAAGGAGTGGAGGTAGTTTGAAGATAATATCAGACGGAAGTTCTCAAGTCTAAAATAACAAAATTGTTAACTTACAAAAAAAAAGTTCTTCTTCATCTACTTTCTGCTATTTCTATAGTATTCGAAACTGTTCAGAAAGTCTTTTTTTCCTTTTGGGACTTTCGCGTTGAAAAATAAATAGATTTTTGTCTAGTTTAAACACAATGTCTAATTTACTTTCTATTAGGTTGTCCAGAAAGTCGTCCCTTTTTGTCTTCTGACTCTTCTGTCTTCTCACTTCTGTTTAAAACCAACAAATTTACCAATTTAATTGGTGAATTAAACAACACACCCACAAACTATAGCTTTTTTTCTTTAGAAAGCTCAATTATTATTCTGCAAAATAACATTAAAATCAAATATCGTTTTAGATTGGCTTAGTCTGAGCTAAAGAAAGTTATTAGGCTTTTCAGAAAGTCTTTTCGTTCTTCTTCGTACTTCCGTTTAAAACAAATTTGCCAATTGAACTACGGTTTGAGCTAAAGAAAGTTATTAGGCTTTTCAGAAAGTCTTTTCGTTCCTCTTCGTACTTCCATTTAAAACCAACAAATTCACCAATTGAACTACGGTTTGTTTCATTAAAAAGTCCACTTATTTTTCTGCAAAATAACATTAAAGCAGGTTTAAAATGTCTTACGTTTAGATCTTTTGAGAGTCTAAAATCGAGTAGTCAAAACCTAGCTCGATGATTCGTTTTAGACAATTTAGCTAAGAAAACCTATCTTGGTGTCAATAGATAAAAGATAGAGCATAAAAAGTTGGGTTTATAGCTAAATTTTGAGAGAAATTCATTCAGCCAGTTTCTTCGTAAAGGTTTTTATAGGTTTTTTTTTGATGGAAAACACGGTTGATTTGCTTGTAATTGAACTGAAGATTGACTTAAAAAGATGGAAATTGAACAAGAAATACTTTTTATTTAAAGGAAACCATAGGTTAATTGGTGAATTTGTTATCTTTCAACAGAAGTATGAAAAGAAACGAAAAATTTTTCTGGTTTTTCTGGACGAAAAGACTTTCTGACCTATTAGGTTGTCCAGTTATGAATGCGCGCCTGCTCTTGAACAGCGTACCTTAGGGCTATACAATTTTATCAAACCCTATTCTCTATATGTTGTTCAAGATTTCTTATTTATTACAACTTTTCGTGTTTTTGACGTTAAACTAATTCATTTTTGATTTAATTTCCGTGTTTAAATGGCCGAGACGAAGTTTCGTCATCGTGCCAGTCTTTGTTATGACTTCAAATTGGGCAAAAATGCCGTTGAATCCCATCGAGATCTCTGCAAAGTATTTGGCGAAGATGCTATTTCGGTCGCCGATGGTTTCAACGATTTCGAGAAGGAAATGAATCTTTGGAAGACGAAGACCACCAACGACGACCTCCTGCGATCGATAATGCACTACTGAAGCAGGCGATAGAAATGGATCCTCGACAAACGACGCATCAACTTGCAGAAATATTTAGAGTAAGCCCTCAAACCATTTCCGAGCATTTAAATCAATTGGGGAAAACAAGCCGACAAGGGAAATGGGTCCTCATCTTCTCAGCAATGCCAATAAAGCTACTCGTGTCACTATGGCGGGTATTCTTCTTCGTTTGGCAAAAAATACTGGGTTTTACGATGAAATCCTTACTTGCGATGAAAAATGGATTCAATATGATAATTCTACACGAAAACGGCAAAGGCTAGAACCTGGTGTGGAGCCAATACCAACACCAAAACCCGACTTCCTTGACAAGAAAGTAATGCCTACTGTCTGGTGGAATTCCCAAGGCATTGGGTATTTTGAGCTGCTTAAACCTGGGCAAACAATCACGGGTGAAACGTATGCACAACAATTGGAACGAGTGAACAATGTATTGCTACAAAAAGGCCTTGATCCTTCAAACATAAAGTTCATTCAAGATAACGCCCGTCCACACGTTGCAAAGATTGTTCAGGAAAAACTCGAAGAGTTGGGCTGGGAAACTCTCCCGCATCCGCCATATTCTCCGGATATTTCTCCTTCGGATTACCATTTATTTCGCTCAATGCGAAGCCACTTGGCCGGAAACAAGTTCAAAGAAGTTCAAGAGGTCGAAAAATGGATAGCCGACTTCTTTGCCTCAAAACAAGCCAATTTTTACGCGGAGGGAATTCATTCTTTGCATGGAAGATGGAAACAAATAATGTTAACAAATGGTGAATATATTGTTGATTGAGCTGTTAAACTGTTGGTTTTAAAATAAAGAGTTGTTATCTTAAAAACGCGCATTTATAGCTGGACAACCTAATAATATATGTACTAATACGCGAATTGTTTTTCCAATAATTTACTTTAGATTCTTTGAGATGAGCTACTTTGTAGAAGAGGCTCTAGGTAAATGTCAGAAGCTCTGCCTGTCAAACATTTCTGAACGTTACCGTAACAAATTATGCAAAACAACAGCTTCTTTACTTCTGTAGCCCTTCAGCAATGTGTACTTTTTTATGAGAATTCTTCCTGTTTCACTCATTTAGCTTACAAAGCCTATCATTTTGTTAAAGTAGTTTATACTGTGTCGCAAGATTTCATAAATCTCAGCCAGAAGTTCTTTGTCCATTCTTGTAGGCAATGTGAAAACTTTTTACTAAATAATAGCAGATTTTTTTTTGCTCTTCTATTCTTCTTCTATGTTCTTCTATTCTTTTTCAAAAAAATATCCACTTTCATCTTCTCAAAAGTGAGCTTTTTTTATCAACTAAACCTCAAAAACGGAATTTGAAATGTCAAAAATTGAAATCTTAAGTTTAAACTAGACTTCGGAAAGCAAAACTTAACCAAAACCAAAACCACCAAAACCAAAACATAACCAAAGCCAAAACCAAAACCAAAGCTTTTCTAGGCGCGTCAAACTCGCAATCAAGGATGTAAACTCGTTATCCAACATCCAATCTAATAAAGCCTACTTACAAGGGAATATCAACCGGGTATGCTGACCAAATGACATAAGCCATAAACTATCCAACGCAGAATTTTACGCTGATTCTGAATCTGCTTTCAGTTTTTACTAAGGAGCACTTGGTCAAAAGTTATCAGCGCTCAAAGTTTTGTATGGAATTTTCAAAAACATTCCTTGATTCCAAAAACATTCCAAAAACATTCAAAAACTTTGGGTTTTGGTTTTGTTTGCCGAACTCTAGTTTAAACTATTCACTTTTCATAAAGAATCAAATCAAAAATGGTTTTAGAAATTGCTTTTCTCTTAATCGATTCAAAAAGTTGAAGATAATTTTCAAAATTTTCACCAAGCTCGGGGACAATTTTCATGGCTCATTATTTTCTTCAGCCAAAGGAAAATGAATGCCCATTTTTTCTCGTTTTTTTCGTCGAATGATTACTTGAAACTTGAAAGCATTTCTGACGAGATCATTGCGTTTTTAAAAAGAGAAAATTTCATTTTAACTTTAGCAAGAAGAGCTGGTTTAGTAATAAAAATTTGGTACATATCGGTTATACCCCCGCCAACTCCACATTCCTGTTTTATCCCCGCTAATTTGCATACAGCAAACTTGCATGCATACTTCCTTGTGTCTCGCTCCATGTTTTTCTCATTTTCTATTCTTTCTCTCTCTTATTCGGTCTCTCCCCTCGACAGAAGCGGAAGCGATTTCCGAGTTTCAACACCGCGGCCTCCTTCCAACTCAACGATACTGTCTTGAAGGCCATGCGATGACTCTGTCGCTCAACTCAAAGAACTCTTCGGTGGCGCTGCAACAAGGAGTCATGCCAAAAAGAAGCGGGAATTCGAACGATCACGTGGTTTCAAGGAAGCAAGGTTCCATTTCTCTCAGTCAATCGTTTCATTTACTGCTGGAGTCAAAAACCTGCTACAACAAAATTTTGCGAAGTTATCACTCATGAAACAACGGTCGATTACAAGAATTACCTGCGAGAGATTTGCGTTTCCTATTTGAAAAGGCCTAAACAAAAAATAGACGGAGTTGGGACAATTGTTGAAATCGACGAAAGTCTTTTCACCAAGCGGAAGAACAACGTTGGCCGAATGATGTCACTCACCTGAGTCTTTGGAGACCTGTCTCGTCAGACAAATGAATGCTCTTAGAAGTTGCCGATCGAAACACGACTACGCTAATGACCAAGATTGAGGAATTCATTGCACCTGGAACGATAATCTTCAGCGACTCATGGAAAGCCCACAACACATCCGTTGGAAGAAGCCGGCTATTCGCATCAAAAGGTGAATCAAGTTCAATTTCTTGAATTTCTGGAAAAGTCACAAGTTCAATTTCTTGAATCCGAATGATCTCAATGTCAATACACAGAGAGTTGAACGAATGTGGGGTGCTGTGAAGTGGAGGACCAAAAAAGAGCGCGGCACCGTTCGGCATTTCCTTTGAAGTTATCTTTCGGAGTTTATGATGCGACGCGAAATTGGTGACAACAACATGTACGAGTGGATCCTTCACCAAATAGCAGCCCAATTCCCTCTACATATCTCTATTTGCTAAAAAGAATGGGCATTTGTTTTGCTGCGTGTGTGCTTTGATAAACTTTGTTAAAACCTCTAAGTGGCGGGGGTTAAACCGAAATGAGTCATTCTAGTTCTGGTATGCAAATTTGCTGTATGCAAATTGGCCGGGATAAAAACGAAATGAGGTAACGAGGGTATAAGGGTATAACCGATAAGTACCGATTTATGTGCTTTTTAAGTAACCGATTTATGTGCTTTTTCAATTGTTGAAAGTTTCAATTTTACAATTTCAAAATAATTAGTTTTCACATTGACTAATTTTTGATAAAAAAATGAAACCTTTTTTCAGAGAATACTTTGATTTATTCACCTTGGTAACAAAAAAAGTAAACAATAGTTTGTGTTTTGACTTTGGGAACAGGAAATGAATAGGCGGGCATCAAGTATGAATGATTTTGGTTTTGAGAACGATGACGAATCATCTGATTTCTTTAGGTTTTTCTATTCCTGTTTTCTCAGTCCGTTCTAGAGCATTTGTCTATTAGTTTGACTGTATTATTGTTTTTAATCTAGAATTTACAATCTACTATTATAAAGAGACTAAGGCGTCTGTCTGTCTGCCTCTCTGTCTGTGCACACTACTCCTCCGCGCCCAGTGGGCCGTTTCAAATGATTTATAGTTAGTTTGACTTAGAATTTCATTTAGTTGTGCAACATGTTTTAAAATTTTTAAAAAACCAAAAGTGCCGACACGGGCGGGAGTCGAACCCGGGTCGTGTGGGCTAGAGACAAGCGCGCTCGCACTGCGCCATCTGCTATAGCATGGCCGAGTGGTTAACGCGCGTGTCTCTCAAAAGAACGAAAGAGAGAGATCGCGGGCTCGACTCCTCTTGCCGGCAATTCTTTTGCTTTTTGTTGCGGAGCAGCAGCGAAGCTTCGGGTTTTAATATAATACAATATCCAATTAGCTCTTTATATTCTTTGAAGTACTTTGTGCTGAATATATCGAAACACAGCTTTTCTAGGCACGTCAAACTCGCAATCAAGGATGTAAACTCGTTATCCAACATCCAATCTAATAAAACCTACTTACAAGGGAATATCAACCGGGTGTGGTGGCCAAATGACATAAGACATATACTATCCAACGCAGGATTTTACGCTGATTTCGACTCTGCTTTCCGTTTTTACTAAGGAGCATTTGGTCAAAAGTTATAAGCGCTCGAAGTTTTGTATGGAATTTTCAAAAACATTCCTCGATAGACAGATTTCCGCGGGTCTGGTGGCCGAGTGGTAGTCAGCTAGGATACAAGGCAAACCCTCTCGAGTTCGAGTCCGCGGGTTACCTTTTTCCTGCTTTTTAAGCGGTAAATGTTCTCCTTATTAAACACTCAAATGATTATTTCATTTCATTTCATCATTTCAAATAATCTCTATCTTTTTCAAACCATTTCTCATCAAAATGTTTACTTTTAACTGGTAACATTAAATAGAATTAGTAGTGGGCTTGGTTTTGGCTTGGGATTGGAACAAGGGCACAAGGAATTCAAAAAGGGAATATCAACCGGGTATGCTGACCAAAAGACATAAGCCATAAACTATCCAACGCAGAATTTTACGCTGATTCTGAATCTGCTTTCAGTTTATTCTCAGGAGCACTTGGTCAAAAGTTATCAGCGTGTAAACTTTTGTTAGGATGAACTACGATCGTACAAAGAACACCTAAACTATTCAAATTAATAAAAGCAAACGAAAAAGTTGAACTGCGGACTCGAACTGTCCTTGCCTTGTATTCAAGCTCATTTCCAATCGGCTATCACAACACTTTTTCTGCCTGAGAAATCTGCTTATGAGCTTGAAACTTGAGAGTTAGCGATTTTTGGAAGCTCTAACAAAACTTTATACACTCTAACTTTTGATAGAATGCTTCTTAGCAAAAACGGAAAGCAGGATAGGAATCAGCGTAAAATTGTGCATCGAATGGTTCATATCATTTGGCCACAACATCCGATTGGCCTTTAGGTCAGGTAAGGCAGGCCAAAAGCCAGATCTGGACTTTTTACCCCATTTAGGAATCTAGGTCTAGAAATGATTCAAATTTAAATCAGCTACTCTAACTAACTAACAGATGTTAGTCTAACTAACTGATCAGATGCTTTGTGTTAGAGTTCATCAGACATTTTCAACGAAATCAATGTCACAAGCACTAATCTCATAATTATGTTCACTCGTAATTGCAGATTTCCCTCGAATTCCGATAAAACACCTGTTTCGATCAGCTTTTTCTCAATCACATCATTTTTTTAATAGTTTTCTTTATTTTCATTTACTTTTCGGCTTTCAGTCTTTTTTAGAAGCATATTCATTTGTTTAGAAGCGAAAGGCGAGTGATGATTTCAATTATTTTATGTTCAGCCCACCTGCTTTCCCCTTTTCTTTCTCACACATCCATTTTGAACTTTCATACTTCTCAACAGCTAGTGTTTCCTTAAAAAAGATGAACTTTTGTCTCTTATTTAGTCAGTAAAACAATTTTGTTCAGTTTTTTAAACAAATTTCATTACGAACACGGTCAAAGCCAAATTTGAAGCAATCGTTAAGATTTTTCTTCTTCAAATTCACAATTTAAGTCATAAATACAATTTTTTAAGCAAAATTTGCTTGTATTTACATTTTACAGTTAACTTTTTACAAGTTTTATAATTCTTGTCTAATCTTGTCCAATCATTTGTTGAATTGCACATATTTTGAAGAATTTCCCGCCTCGCATTTACTCATTTTTGCTTTTTATTAAGAAATCGAATTTTCTGAAGCATTTCACATTAAAAGATCTTCAATAAGTTCAAAATTTTGAGAGCCAATTCCCTTTGAAATTCCCTGAAATTTCAAAGGGAATTTCAGGCTGCTGATCGCTGCTGATCAGAGCAGCGATCTGTATGGTAACTCTGTATGAAGTTGAACAGTTCTTTAATTGTTTTGCTTTTTACTTAAAAGAAAAGCCTTGCCAAAACCATGGCTTGTTTAAATCTAAATAATTATTAAATTAATTCACTTTTTTGCATTTCTAACGTAATTTTGAATTTCCTAAAGGGTCAAACTCAGGTAATCTCAGAAAAACAGGAAATTTCTCATCAAAATTTCTCATTTTTTCCGGTACCTATTGTGTAAAAGCATAAAAACAAAAGATAGCCATTGAAAAAAAAAGATTTGTTATTCAACCATATCTTTAATAGATCTAACAATGTGTGCAAAGATGAGCTAATCGAAAAACATCGGGGTTTCCAACAAAAAGAAACCTTTATCCAATGAGTTTTTCAAAAAAGTTAGTCATTCCTGTCATTTTTTAAAAAAAATCATTCTTTAATCATAATCCGCTTTATTTCTAAAGTTTATCAGTAAAAATCGTCATCAAATTTTCGTTGATTTCTCATCATTTCAAACAAAAGTTTATTCTTTAAAATGGAATTTCCTTTGGATGTGTTCAGTTGGGTAATTGGATTTTGGAGTAATTAGTGACGAGCTGAAGAAGAAGAAAAGTCCAATTTCGATCTCATATCTCTTTAATCTTTCCTTTCACATCCACCTTCAACTTCTAAGAATTCCATTTTGCAATCGAGCAATTAGCTTTAGCAATTAGCAAAAAGCTTTAGTCATTTTTGTTTTAAAAAAGGGAAATTGATGGAAAAAATGGTCTGATTAAGCTTTTTTTTTCTACAATATCTTGGGTTGATGGAAAAGTCCTTTCCGATTTTTTGGGAGAGTACCTTAAATTTGTCGAATTTTGACGTTTTATAGCTCATCCTAAAGCTGAATTCAAGACGGACCGATTGCTAAAAACCGTTTTGAGATATCTCTTTTTTTAAAATTTTTACAGCTATTTTAGTAAAGGGCGGCAGAGCCAAAAAATGGCTGTTTTCCCATTTCGTTAGTTTTCCGTGCAGAAACCTAGGCTAAAAAGATGTGTTTCGTGATCAGCGTCAAAAATAACCCCTAGACACGCATTTTCAGAATCTTAGCAATAGTTAGCAGAAGTTTTAACATTTTCTTATTATGAAATCCGTTGGTCTTAAATAAGTAAAAGGAAAACTTAAGAAGTTTTTTTACAGCTATTTTAGTAAAGGGCGGCAGAGCCAAAAAAATGGCTGTTTTCACGTTTCGTTATAAAACGTCAAAATTGGACAAATTTAAGGTACTCGGAAGGTTTTAAGGTTTAAGGTACTCCCAAAAAATCGGAAAGGACTTTTCCACCAACCCAATACAAATTTCATTATTCTACATATGTCAGATATTTCTACATATGTAGATCTCAAGGTTTTGATTTTTTTGGATCATTGGATCATTTTATCTCATGAATAACGTAGATATATAAAGCTGTAGTAATAAATCCAAGAGCTGTAGATCTCAAGGTTTTGATTTTATTTTGATTGTAGAACCACTTACCGATCTTTTCACCTCTCTATCAATCTAGATTTGCTTAACGATTCTTAACGATCTTGGACTAAAACTTGGCATAACTATATAATATTTTAAAAGGTTAAAAAGATAATTACTTTGCTGGCAGTTTTAATGTAAAAACTTGATAAATTGGCCAGAATCGAACCGTTTTTTGGGCACTGTTAAGAATCGTTAAGGAACTGTTAAGCAAGTCTAAATCTAAGACTGTTTCTGAGACTATTTTGAATCTCTTTCATGTTTTACAAGTTCAACTTTACACAGAACACTTAAAGAATACCCAACTCGGCAATAGACTCTTGTTCAATATTCATTGATCTTTCCACAGTTTTATTTTGTTCTATGTATTACAATTAAAGCTTATCAGACTTCTTATTCTTTTATTTTCTTTTTCTAATGGCATTTCTTGGAAACGATTTGCTCATACCTCTTTCAAACCTATCATTTTAAGTCCAAATTTACAAAAAAAAAGACGAAAATACTAGGTAAGTAGGGAAATCAAAAATCCAAGAGCTGTAGATCTCAAAGTTTTGATTTTATTTTAATTGTAGAACCACTTCCCGATGTTTTCTCCTCTCTATCAATCTAGATTTGCTTAACGATTCTTAAAGATCTTGGACTAAAACTTGGCAAAACTATATAATATTTTAAAAGGTTAAAAAGTAACTACTTTGCTGGCAGATTTAATGTAAAAACTTTGGAATTATTGGCTAAAATGAGAAACTATATTTCAAAGATCATCCAAAACAACATTTTTCCTTTAGTTACTAATTTATTTCATGAATAACGTAGATATATAAAGCTATAGTAATAAATCCAAGAGCTGTAGATTTCAAGGTTTTGATTTTATTTTAATTGTAGAACCACTTCCCGATGTTTTCTCCTCTCTATCAATCTAGATTTGCTTAACGATTCTTAAAGATCTTGGACTAAAACTTGGCAAAACTATATAATATTTTAAAAGGTTAAAAAGTAACTACTTTGCTGGCAGATTTAATGTAAAAACTTTAGAGTTATTGGCTAAAATGAGAAACTATATTTCAAAGATCATTCAAAACAACATTTTCCCTTTAGTTACTAATCTATTTATGAGATTTGAAACTAAAATTTAAATTAAAGATTAAAAACAAAGACAAGAGTTCAAATTAATATTCCCTGGACAATTCGTAGAAATCTTTTGCTGAGAAAATTTTGATTTCTAAAACATTTAAGGTTCAAAAAACTTTCAAATTTCAAAAAACCATCAAATTTTGACTGATTTCTTTATCTTTAAGTCGATTTTCAAGAGCTAAACAGATTTTTAACCAAAAAAAATTACAGTTTTAAGGAACTATTATGATTGAGTTACAGTCTAAATATCTTTTATATCTAAATATCTTTATCTCTACAGTCTAAATATCTTTTCAAAGATCTGTTTTTGTGGAAAAGAGTTGTACCTCGACTTCCACAAGACAAACTTTCGTAATAGACAGAAAAAACGCCGAAATTGCAGTTAATTATAGTTGATTATAGTTGATTTTTCTGTGAAAGGTTTGAATTTGATATGTTTTTCTCTGAATTTTTTAAAATAAACGTATTCTTTCTAAAATGTTTGCCGATTTAATTGGATTTTCGCCAAGATCGGGTAGAGATTTTTCTTTTTTGATTTTCTTCCTGCGAGATATTTTTAGTTGATTTTTGCAAAGGAAAAGAGATTAGTCTCGATTGTTTATTTTTTAGTGTTTATTTTATGAATTTGTTTATTTTTATTGATTGCTAAAGTTTTTAAATACCTTCAGAAATGGATTTATTAAACAACGTTTCAACTAACGAGACTGATGAGTGCGAGAAAGAGCTACAAATGGATGATGTTTATAAACTTGGTAAGAATTAGCAAAAAGCATAGCCTAGCATAGTGTTTTCCTCACGAGTAATGCGCTTTTTTTAAAACGCACACTTAGGGAAAATTACCGTAGTTTTAACGAAAATTATTGCAAAAAATTGGGGCTGGGACAAATGCGACCTTTTTTTTGCTGGAAAAGGCCTTAGGAAAGGTCGTAGAGCTTCGAAAATATTTCCATATAAGGGAATCGTATGCGTAGATTCAGAATTTCGACAAATCAGACCTCGCTGACACGTCAAATTTGGGCTAAAAGGCAAAAACTGCGGAAAAGCGTTAAGTTGCGTAGTTTTTGCCTTTTAGCCCAAATTTGACGTGTCAGCGAGGTCTGATTTGCTTTGATTTGTCGAAATTCTGAATCTACGCATACGATTCCCTAGTATGGAAACATTTTCGAAGCTCTACGACCTTTCCTAAGGCCTTTTCCAGCAAAAAAAAGGTGCGCAAATGTCCAGGTGCGTAAAAAAAAAGGTCGCATTTGTCCCACCCCCAAAAAATTGGTGCCAAAAAATCACGAGCGACGACTTATATATGACGCTTTTTAAAGATATTCAGTTGTTTAACTGATTTAGTGGCAATTTCTTTTTACAAGGAAAGATATTCAATTTACTCGACGTGTAAAGAGGATTACTTGTAGTTACTCGACCAAAAACGTCAATTAACAAGTAAAAGTTACTCAGGCAATTTTACTCAAGTAATTACTTACTTGCGAGGAACACACTCTAGTCTAGCATAGAATGGAGATTTTTGATGGATTGATTTGTACTTAATCTTAACATTGTAAATTATAACTAGACGCTGGCCAGGCCAGGGCATTACGAATTTTGAGATGAAACTAGTAAATTTTGCTATCTAGCAAAGTCTGAAGCCGGGCGCAAAACCCTATTCACCAAAAGAAAAGGCCTGATTTGACTTTAGATCTTAAAAGAACTGTTTTACTCTGAAAATCACTAGGGTTTCATCTGTGATTAAGTTCAATAACATTCAGTAAGACGAATTGGTTGTAAATCTTGTGAGCTTAATCTCCATAGCCAAATTTTATTGCCATACTTTGAATCTAGATAATTTATATGTCGCAGACGCTCGTGATTTTCAGCCGCTAGTGATTGAATCACCAACGGCTAGTCGATGGTGATTGAAAGTTTTTTAACGAAAGATTTGACCGATGGTGATTGTATCACTAGCGGCTAGCCGATGGTGATTGAATTACTAGCGGCTAGCTTTGGTGATTGAATTACTAGCGGCTAGCCGATGGTTTCAATCACTAGCGGCTAGCTGATGGCTGCAATCACTAGCGGCTAGCTGATGGCTGCAATCACTAGCGGCTAGCCGATGGTGATTCAATCACTAGCGGCTGAAAATCACGAGCGGCTGCGACATATACAAATAAATCAATATTCAGGATTGGTTTTCGCGTATGGTGTTGTGGGTATTTTGTCGCTTTTTGGAAACGCGATTGTCTTGTTGATGGTTGTTTGTCGGAGAGAGATGCGAACAGCCACCAATATTTTCATCTCAAGTGTCAGTGCGGCTGATTTAGTGAGTTTAAGCTTTACAAATGAAAGGTATGATTAAAGGTAATGCTTTTTTACATTTGAATCAATGATTTTGCTGAGCAAAGTTGTTTTTTATCTACATTCCAAACATAAGAACTCTAAAGTCTTTTCAAAAAGTTCTTCATATTAAATTTCATTGAATTTTTTATTTCTTTAGCTTTTAGCTTTTCTTTTCAGCTTTAGCTTTTCAAAATTTCCTTCTCTAATTAGACATCGAGCATGAGGAAGTCTAGAAAAAAGTGAAAAGAAATGTTTGTTTAAAGAAAATCCTATTAGGTCAATGTACTAAAGTCTATTAAAGGGATCAGTTTTCTATTTTAAAAGCTTTCACAGTAAAATAGAGTCTATTTCCTCATTAAAGTCATTACAAAGTTGACTAGGAAGTGACTTTTTTTAAGAATTGATGTCACCTGGATACAATGGAATCTAATGTGTTTAAAAAATAAAAACTCTTTGATCAGAAGTTAATAAGAAATGGAGTTAATAGTTTTGATTTAAGATTTTCATGAATTTTTGATACTTTCAAGAACTAGAGATCGATTTCTGTTCTAAAAAGTAAAAACTCTTTGATCCGAAGTTAATAAGAAAGGTCTGGAAGGTAAGAAAGGTAAGAGTAAGAAATGAAAGGTAAGAAAGTTAATAAGATCTGTTTCTGTTCTCTAATATTTTCAAGAGTTTTTCTGAGTTTCTTTGAATAACTTCATGAGATGAGATTCAAAAGATTAAATAAAATGATACTTTTGTACCCCAAGATCTAATTGTGCCTGCATTTGTAAGCTAATTTTCAGTAAAACTAATCATTTAGACTTTTGCTCGTTAGCAAGTTACGATTAGCTCATTAGAATTAGAATTTAAAGTAGGATTTTGCACTCACTTCAACAATTGTTCTTACAATTCTGTTAGAACTATTGGGTTGGGGAGAATGAGTCGGCGCCGAAAATCAAAAAAATGTCTAAAACTTCTATTCGACTTCGTCAAATAATATGCGTTTGATATGAGTAGAATGGTTAACTAATTCTCTACAAAATGACATTTAAAAGAAAATTCAAACAGCGCCTCCGCTCAAGAAAAAGCCATTTTTTCACAAAAACTACAAACTGTCATCTAGAAAAAAACATTGGTGGGATATTCCTGCAAATTTGGCAACTTAAGTAATTGAATGTGCTCTATCTTTTTTATATAAACACCAAAGAAGGTTTATGTGAAAGAAACTGTTCAAATGATGAGTCGGACTCTTTGCCATTTTAACCAGCTGCGTTTGGAAGTTCATAAACTCCACGAAAGAAAAGCTTTGTGGAATCTCTCAAAAGTGATTTTGTAGAGAAATAGTGGATCCTTTTGATGAAACCAAACGTATGTTTAAAGAAGGCTTTATGTGTGCAAAAAGTCCCTTTAAAGTTTGGCGCCGACTCATTCTCCCCAACCCAATATAAATATTCTTTGTTAGAATGAAATCTTAAAACGCTCTTGCAATTCTGATTTGATTCCTTTGATTTCTAGTATTAGATTGGAAAGAAAGTTTTCGTTTTCGATGCCACAATTATTGAAATCTTTTGCAATTCTTTCAAGTCCATTTTCCCATGCTTGGCCTCATCTATTAGGTTGGAAAGAAAGTTCTAGAAAAGTTTGACTGAAATTTCTTAAAGACTCCATCAATTCAAGAACATTTTGTTCTATTATTTACAAGTTGACTCCAAGAAATTACTCGTAAAAAAATGAGTGCAGATTTTCCGTAAAATTTTAGAGATTTTTGAAAAAGTATTATTTTCCAGCTTAAATTCAGCTCACTTTTTGCATCAGAAAAACGATTTTTTATGATGTAAAACTAGCATAAATGAGCAATACGCTCAATAATCTCTATTTTTGGCTAAAAATTTTCTTACAGAGAAGCTTTTATCTCTATTTCAAAAATTTTTTTGGTGTCATCCTCTTGGCACTGAGTGTTTGCTAGAATAGATCATTCGGAAAAGTGAAAGCATTAGATAAAATTTGCCTTTATCATAAAACTTCCCAATTTTAAAGTACTTGATTTTAGGTTTGTGAATGGGACCCATTGCCTATTCATTAACCCATTAAAAACTTGTCTAAAGGCTGATCACTTAAAAAATGATCAAGTCACTTCAGCTGAAGAAATCTCTTATTTTTTGTCAAGAACTTTTTGAAATATAGTCATTTATGAAAAAATCTGGAAAGAATTCATAGCTTGGTTTTTGAGAAATCACTGTGCAAACTTTTTCTACGAACTTTCTTGCCAACCTAATAAAAACCCATCACTTAAACATATACACATAGTAAAGTTTAGCTTTGTTTTATTCAGTCAACTTTATCAACTCACCTTTCTACCAATTTCTCCAGAGACATACAAATCGACGGCTCTTCCCTCAGCATGCAGTGAGAGACTTTTGCCGTCTCGAACATTCCGATTGGGGAGTGGGACAAATGCGACCTTTTTTATGTTATGTCTGTTATGTCAAAATTTATTTCGATTCTACGCCCTAAAATTACCTAGAAAAACAACATTTGGAATAGAAATTGGTTAATATTAGCTTTTTAGAGCTTTTTTAAAACGCGAAAAAAGGTGCACTAATGGGCAAGGTGCGGAAAAAAAGGTGCGCAAATGTCCGGATGCGCAAAAAAAAAGGTCGCATTTGTCCCACTCCCTCCGATTGTTGTATGTTGATCACTCAAAAAATGAAATCTCTTATTTTTTGAAAGCAATGAAAGCAATGAAAGCAAAAAAAGCTGAAGAAATCTCTTATTTTTTACCTAAAGCCCACTCTGCTTTTTTTTTGTCAAAAACTTTTTGAAATATAGTCAATTTTATCAAAAAATCTGGGAAGAATTGATGGCTTGGCTTTTGAGAAAACACTGTGCAAACTTTTTCCGAGAACTTTCTTGCCAACCTAATAGAGTAGATAACAAGAGAAAAACAACGAGGATTGTAGGTCAGAAAATGTAGCTAAATAGAGAAACATCAACATTTTCAAGTGTTACTATAGAAAGATAATAATTGAACTTGATTTTAATATCTCAAATCATCGTCCAAACTTTTTCTACAAACTTTCTTGCCAATCTAATACATTTTACAGATGTTTTCAGAATTGTTTATGAATCAAATAAGCGATAATTTTCTAGATTTTAATCTATCAACAACTAAATTATGCCCGTTGTTTCCCATCGAGTATGCCCGTTGTTTCCCATCGAAAGAAATTCCTTGCTATTCTGATCGACTTGCTCTTTTTGACCTTAAACCCTTATCCCATCGCCGCATTTATTTTGATTTGGTCTTATGCTATAAAATCATCTTCTCTCCTAACTCTCATCCGGAACTTAAAGGACTCTTTAAGATTTCGAATCACGCCAGAAGAACTCGTAGTCACAACTTTCAGATTACCCCCTTTCAAAGCTTTCATAACCGCCAACTGTATCATTCTTTTGCTTGTCGTGTTCCTCGTATTTGGAAGAAGTTACCTTGTGATATTTTTTCGTCTCTGAACTATTTTAAATCCTCAATATATAAGCTCGATCTTGTAGCTCTGTCAATTTTAAATTAGTTTTTAATGTCATATATACACGTGTCTAATTGTAGTTGTGTTTGTATATCAATTATCTTTCTTCGTCTACGCTGTTCAATCTGTTTGCATTGTTACTTTTCCTTGTCGGATAAAGTATATATATATATAAATTGTTGAAATAGTCTTTTCTTTTCTCAAGCTTTTCTCAAGTCTTTTCTCAAGCACTAATTGCTCAAATTTCAAATAGAAACCTATGATAATAAGTCATATTTTGATTTGTTTTCTGATCAAGTTTAAGAAATTTGATCGCTTCCTTTGCTTTCAACTGCTCTAATCTAAAAATAATTTAATAAAAGAGAGGTTTCTTAAAAAGAGAAATGATGAAAACAAAGCACCTGTAATTCATAGAAAAATTGAAAGTTATGAACTAGAAATAGAAAAATTACTAGTTTCAGAAAGGGACAAAGTTTTCTTTGTTGAAATTTTTTATCTTTGGCTATGAGATGATGAATGAATATTTGGAAATAAAATAATTATAGGATTAAAAGCATTTTTTGGTGCAGTTGGAACAATTTTTGGATAAAACGAATATTCGTATTCGGTATCGTTTTATCTAAAAAAGCTGAAAGTTAGACGAAATCATCGTTAGATGAAATTATAGTTCAAATTCAATTCAAATCATAGTTCAAATACTGTTCAATTGCCTTTGGTTTGTCCATAAAAATGAAATAGATTGAAATTTCTAACTTATATCGGTTGTTCACTGTTTTAACCAGGAAGCGTCAAAAATAGCCTTTAAAAAACTCTTAGATATCAAGAATTTCCATTAGCGAATCGAACTTGTAACACAATTACACATCAAGCGCAACATTTTACATTCAGGTGATCACCCTTTTCTCCTTATGGGCCACTCCATTCTCCTACTATCAACGAACATGGCTTTTTGGGGAAGGAATGTGCTACTTTGTCTACATGATTCAAGTATAATAGCTTATTAACAAGTTAACTCTTATCTTATTAATCAAACCTTGATAGATAAGAAGTTATTTTAGGGTGCTTCTCTGATGTGGGCACCACTAGCTCTAGCTGCCATCGCTGTCGATCGATATATGTTGGTGGCAAATCCATTCAGGGTATGTCATTCTAAGCTATTCTTTGAACTATTAGCGAAGCTAAGCTATTAAGGCTTTCTCTAATAACTTTCTTCAGCTTAAACCAGCCAATCTAACACCGTATTTGATTTTAATCAATCCTGAGTACTGATTATGATCAGTCTAATCATCAAATTTCTAAACTTCTTTTATTTTAAACATTTTCAGAAGCAACTCTCCCCTTTGAATTGTCTTCTTATTATCTGTTCTGTTTGGGCTGCCGGTTTCGTCATTTTATCTCCAATGATGACCCATTTAAGCTATGTGGAATTCGAACTGCCTTGCGACAAAGCGGTTTGTTTTGCAAATTAAAAGAACAACAAGCTGAATAACTATAAACCCCACCCTTTCTGGTGTACTCATTTCAACCCAGCAGTTTGCTGACGAATCGCGTGCATCAGAAAGGTCATATAACTGCATTGGATCAGTCAGATCAGTAACTCGATATCAGTCAAATTTCAGTACTGCATCGAGTATTGGAAACCCCGAGAGTATCGTCTTTTTTACGGTATTTTCGTCTTCTTGGTTCACTCATTCATCCCACTCATTATCATTTCTTGGTGTCACTACAGGATTGCTTCAATTCTCAGCTCACAAAACTCAAAACTACAAAAGAATCGTTCAAAATCAACGTGATTATTTTTCGATAAACTTTTAAAGCTAAATCTTTTTTAGATATGGTGTTGCTTTGGATATTAGCAGAAAACAGCGACTACAAAAGCTTTTATTAGCAATGGTGCTCATCTTTGCCGTCTCCTCGTTACCAATGGATGTCTTTAATGTGTATCAAGATATTGAATTGATTCATAATGTGAGTGTAATGAAGAAATAATACAGTAAGACTTGGATCATTTCAGAAAAACTGACAAAGCCAGTTCTGGGTATCTTCTTTGTTTAGTTTCAGTCTTTATAAACATTGATTTCAGTTTCGTTGGTTGTCTGAAGATGTTTCCCATATGCTCTTCTACTTTTCTCACTTATTAGCGATGGCGGGCACATTGTTAAATCCACTTGTGTACGCTTGGTGGAATGAGAACTTCAGAAGGCAGATCAAGGTTGGGAAATCTTCACAAGAAACTAGACTTGCTTATCGTTATTATCCATACAGCAAGGTCATTTTTGATCGTTCAGATCTCGGTTTCTAAAACAGCTATCAATCTGAAAATTGTTTCATTGGAAAGCCAAGAATGGCAGCTTTTGATTGTTATTTGATATTTAGCGACTTTTAGCATAAAGTTTAGATTGACCAATAGAATAAGTAGAAATTTTGATTTTTATGGAAAATAGCTTGTCTAACAAGATCAGAATGATAAGTTTAGCATATTTTAAAGCAGAATAAACTTGCTTCTCGATATTATCGATATAAACGGCATGCTCATCTTTGACCGTTCAGATCTCAGCTTCTAGAATAGCTATCAATCTGAAAATTGTTTCATTGGAAAGCCAAGAATGGCAGCTTTTGGTTGTTATCATAGCATAGCAAATTCTCATAGATCAGCTTTTTGTTCTTTTACTTTGCAAAACCGCTTTGTCGCAAGGCAGTTCGAATTCCACATAGCTTAAATGGGTCATCATTGGAGATAAAATGATCTCATAGATCACATAGCAAATTCTCATAGATCAGTGCCTTAAATAACTTATCAATACTTATCGATAAGCTATAAAGTTTACTCATCAAGTTCCTATGTATAAAATAGCAATCAAAAGCTGACATTCTTGACTTTCCAATGGAAAAATTTTCAGATTGATAGCTGTTCTAGAAAATGAGATCTGAAATAAACATGAGCATGCCGTTTGTATCGATAATATCGATAAGCAAGCCTACAAAAAACCAATGAACATTGAAAAAAATCCAAAATTTTATTTATCTCATTTTAGTCAATCTTCAAAGAGCTACGTGGAATTCGAGAGCCGCCTTTTAAGACATCGATCTACGAAAAGCAGTCAAGGTTTTCGTTGAGAAATCCCGAAGCTCTAACCGCTGAACAACAGGTACTAAAGCTTTTCTAAATATCAAGATTCCATATAAATGTCAATATTTTATGTTCTTATACTGCCAGTACTTACTATAGGTTCTTGAGCTTATTCTGTCATTACTCTAGCACATTCTATTGACAGAATATGCTTTTGATGTTACGAATGGGTAAGTAAATAAAGAAACTGGATTTCTAAAGCATTGAAGGCTACGAATAGAAAGCTTTTAGCACAAATTTTCCAAACAAAACTTTAGATTGATAGAATTACGGTAGAAATGAATACTGATTAGATATTGTAGTATTTTTAACCCCAAACAAAACTATTGGGTTGATGTGAATTTGAATAATCGATCAAGCTCTCAAATTTCAATTAGGAACCTTAGAATAGCATTGAAATCGACATTCATAACTGTAACCTTTTCTAATCTTTTTAAAATCACTTCAAAATTTAACTATTGGGTTGGTGAATTGAAAACTGCGGGCTATTGTTTGAGCACTTTCTTCAAAAGAAACCCATTTTGGTGTCAATGGAAAAGTTGTAGAGAATCAAAAATCAAGCTTATATCCAAATTTTCAGAACGATTCAAAAACTGGTTTTCAAGAAATGCCAAATTTACGAATTTTCACAAAACTTGCATTTTAAGCGAAACTACTAAGTGTATCTTTTTGGAAATTTGGCTATAAGCCTAATTTTTGATTCTCTACAACTTTTCTATTGACACCAAAATGGGTTTCTTTTGAAGAAAGTGCTCAAACTGGGACATCTCCAGTCCTCCATTTTTGAGTCTCACACTTGTCTCACACACAAACCAAAATCCTACCACGAAAGAGGAATCCGCAAATTGCCTGTAAAATGGGCAGAAGTCGTCAAAAATATTGGAAATTATTTGGAATGAATTCATGGTTTTATATTGAATAAATTTTAGTTCAAAGTCCGGCAGTTTTCAATTCACCAACCCAATATAGCGAACGGTTGGGAAAGGTGAATGAATCCCTGAAGAAGAATAGGCCCTCCAAGTCAAAGATCGTTCTCCTCCACGACAACGCGCGCCCTCATATTGCAAAACTGACTCGCTCTAAAATAAATGGCCTTGTTTGGGAACTTTTGGCGCATTCCCCATAAAGTCCGGACCTCGCCCCTTTTGATTACTATTTATTCCGGATCATGAGTAATGAGCTTGCGAGAGAACACTTCGATTCGGAAGAAGCAGTCAAAAGTTGGCTTTGAAAGTTTTTCGATTCAAATCCAAAATCCTATTACCAAAATCCGCAAATTGCCTGTAAAATGGGCAGAAGTCGTCAATAATAATGGAAATTATTTGGAATGAATGGTTTTATGTTGAATATATTTTAGTTCAAAGTCCCGCAGTTTTCAATTCACCAACCCAATATATAAAGTTTTTTCCTCTAATTTGAGCTATTGCTTGTCCGACTTCTAAAAAATCAAATTCTAGATTGTTCTCCAATGTGCTGATGGTGAAGACCCATCGAATGACGTTCAAATCTAGCTTGATTATTCAAGTGTTTCTGTTAATTTATTCCATTCCCTTTCTTTTCCCCTATCGCATTTTATTTTTGTGGTCATAAACGGGTTTTTTTTTGACATTTTCGACCATTTTTATTTCTCGTATAGGCTTGCTTTTTTTCAAGTTTTAAATAAAGTTTATTTTCTAAGGATTTCAAAAACGCACTCTCCTTAATAATATTGCGCCATACTATTTTTTCAATCGTCTATTAGAGCAATACTATTAAGAAGAATACGATAAATGTTTCAAGTTATCGGATGAGCTGAAAGTATCGGGAGATCACAGTGTAAATGTTTTTCAAAACGATTGAATTGACTATACAATGATCGGTGAGTGATGGACACAATCGTTTACCTGAAAAAAATATCCATTAATCCATTAATAAAGCTTAGTTGCAAATCTTGAAGTACGGTAATCTATAAGATATTCAGCTTTATGAGTCTACTGTAGCTTTAGCTGTTAAACTCGGCTACTTAAAGTATAGTAATCTAGCTAAGAGTTACTGTAACTTGACTGAATATCGTATAGAATTAGAAAGCTATAACTTTAAAGTTCAATTAATCGTGGAAAATAGCTTGCTTAGAAATGCTTGCTTAGCTTGCTTGCTTAGAAATCCAATAAGTAAAGCTAGAAATTGCGTCGATCAATCTATTTAAAAGACATTCAGCTTTAACTTATTTGTTAAAATAATGCTTGTAATTATAGCTTTAACGCTAGTTTCCGTTCATTTTAAGGTAAACAAAACAAATACTTCATACAGTACTATGAATGAATTATCCGTACAATGCTATAGCGATTTAGGTGTTCAGCCAGGGAGTCACTCTCACTGATAACACGAGAAAGCTCTTCTTCTCCGACGACTTGTACTCTTTATTCCCAACTTACCGGCTCAAAATCCACCAATTCCTCAATGTTTTTCGTCAATTCTCTCATACTTTGATCGTTAAATGAAGCTTGCATGAATAACCGCCTTTCTTCATAGTCTGCCTCACAAATGATTTTGTTCTCGAAAAGATGAAATCGATCGCCGACACAAAATCTGATGATAACTTTATTATTTTAGCAGCCGAAAACCCCTAACTGCGGGTTTCATTAGCTAGATGTTTTGGCAATAGATTTGTCATTGTGGCGCAGTCAAGAGCGCGCTTGTCTACGGCCCACACGATCCGGGTTCGACTCCCGGCTATGTCGTGACTTTTGCTTTTTAATAAAACAAAATATAAGATTCACAACTACCTAGAGTTATAAGTCTAGGAAACTGAAAATCATGTAAATCGGTCAATGGGAAGCTGAGAACTTGGACGAACGAACAGACACTTCGATTTTATATATGTCATATTCGGTGTGGATTCTAGACAGACAGGCAGACGGACGGACAGACAGACAGACGTACACTTCCATTTTATATATGTTATATCCGATTTAGATCTTTATCCGATTTAGACGCAATCTATCGGATCGCAATCGGATATCCGATTTAGATTCTGAGTCTAAATCGGATATCCTTTTTAGACTCAACAATAGCTTTAACGATTGCTGCGCTGGAATATCATGCTTTTGACATTTTTTGATGCATTTTTACATACATCGTCTTTTATACCAAAAACAAGCAATAGCTAGAAGCATTTTAACCACAACATTTATCAATAACTTAGAGGCTAAAATGACAAGTAACACAAGCAATTAGATTGTGTTGAAATCGGATCTAACATATATAGAAGATTGTTTTCTTATCAACTCACGGTTCATTGCAGACATTACAGGTGAAACATCGAAGATGAAATACACGATCTTTTACTCGCATCACCATTTCATTTGGAGGAATGGGTATTTGACATGATGAGCATTCACCTGAGAATTCATCGATTTATTCTGCTTGAGATTCTTGTAGATTTATTGTTCAATGATAAATTTGCATTTTTTTTCTGGCTGAGATGCTCAAATTAGAAGATTCTGTAAAGAAAAGCAATAAATAAAGGAAATCAATCGATTCTCCGACCTTTAAAACCCCCGAATATCAATCTTTGCCTTTAAATCTCAAGGCAAAAGAAGTGAAGTTCCCTGCAGAATCATAAAACCAATAGAATAATAGCTTCAGGATAAATATCACTTTAAGATTTTAAAAAGAACACTTCAGACTTCTCCTAACTCTTACCATTTTGACAATACAATCTCTGGTAATCGTTCTTGCACAATAATTGATCGTATTTCACGAAGAAACGAGAGCCAAGCTTTGGCAACGCCACTTGGCAGCAAGAGCACTGAAAATTTGATTGATTACCGTATTTTCTCTAATAGTATTTTCCGGATTTTCCGAGTTGATGACTATTTTACGGTTTCACAGTTTTCACAGAAGCTCAACACTGTAATCCCCCGAAAGATCTCATCGTCAGCTACATTTTCCGACCTCACATCGATAGGTTCCGATAAGCGCTTCTCGAGATTTCGAGGAATTTAGGCAAAGCTCAGGCTTAGGCTCAGACTTAGATTCAGGCTTAGGTTCAGGCTTAGGTTTAGGCTTAGGTTCAGGCTTAGGTTGAGACCAAGGCAGAAGCTCAACACTCTAATCCTCCACAAGATCTCATTGTCAGCTACGTTTTTCGACCGCACATCGATAGGTTCTGATAAGCGCTTTTCGAGATTTCGAGGAATTTAGGCGATGCTCAGCGTGCACTACTATTAGAGAAAATACGGTATATTCTAAAGAAAATTATTGAAGTAGTGATTGTTTTCAAGGAGTACAAAACCAAAGCTTACTAAGCAATAGTAGTGCACTGCGCCGAGCCGAGTTGATGACTATTTTACGGTTTCCAAGCTTTTGCAGAAGCTCAACACTCTAACCCTCAACTAGATCTCATCGTCAGCTACATTTTCCGACCCCACATCAATAGGTTCTGATAAGCGCTTTTCGAGATTTCGAGGATTTTAGGCAAAGCTCAGGCTTAGGCTGAGGCTTAGATTCAGGCTTAGGTTCAGGCTTAGGCTCAGGCTTAGGTTCAGACCCAGGCAGAAGCTCAACACTCTAATCCCTCACTAGATCTCATCGTCAGCTACATTCGATCGGTTCTGATCACATCGATCGGTTCTGATCAGCTGTTATCGAGATTTCGATTAATTTAAGTAAAGCTTAAAATGCACTATTATTAGAGAAAAACCGGTATTTGAATCGCTTTTTTTCATTACTTTTAAACAGGCTTCATGCCAGAATTTATCAGCCGCATTCAGCATATATCGATCGATGATTGGCTGATTGCATCCACCACAAATATAGCTCTGAGAGCGCATCATTCTGAAGGGGATTTGTCAGTGAAGCTGTCAATGCTCTAGCAGTAAAAAGAGCATAAAATAAAGCTGAAAAAGAAAAAGAATAAATCTCAGTCAAAGGTTGTAAAAATCTCCAAAAAAATTCAATTTGATAATACTTTTTTTCAATAAAAACAAAACAAATGGCGTTTCTGTTATTTTAGGCTAGAAAATCTCAAATTTTTCACAAAGAAACCCTCGAGTTTCAAAGATTCAAAACGACATGAAACGAAAAAATGGAAAGAAAAAGTGAGTGCGAGATTAATTAGAACCCAAAAATGCCTTTTCCATGTGTTTATGAAAAGTTTAATTAAAAATTTCGTCGTTTATTATGAGATTGGAAGAAAGAAAGGAGGAAGAGGGAACTTTTTTGGACAATTTCGTCAGTGTTTCTCAGTGTATTACTGAAATTTATCAAAAATTGTTTTGAAATGACTATATCTATCAAGAGATTTCTAGTTAAAGTTCAAATTTTCCAAACAAAACTATTGATGGGCAACTTTGAGATGAAAACTTGTCCTTAACTATGCTCATTTTGGCAAAAAGAAAACTCCGAACTTGGGAAAGAATCATATAAAATAGTTGAAAATATTGAAAATGTCTGTAAAACAAAATTTGATTTGATTTTATAATTGTCACATTATAGAAGAAACAAATGTAAACAAAAGGAAAGGAAATTTGGGAGAAAAGCCGAAATATTTCCTTTCTGAATCATCATTTTATTATATTTAAAAGAAATTTCTTATAGTTTCAAGAGTTAATTTCATTTTTAAAGTTATAAATTAACGAACAAGCCTTTTCCTTAATAGGAAAACTTGTAAAGCTTTCGTTTTATTGAGTTAACCAGTGGAAATCGACGCAATCTAAGCCCCGCTCCTTTTTGCCAATACAGACAGACAGACAGACAGACGGACAGACTGACAGACGGGGCAGACAGACAGACAGACAGACAGACAGACAGACAGACAGACAGACAGACGGACAGACGGACAGACAGGCAGGCAGGCAGACAGGCAGGCAGGCAGACAGACGGACAGACAGACAGACAGACAGACGGACGGAAAGACAGACAGACGGGCAGACAGATAGACGGACAAACAGACAAACAGACAAACAGACGTCTCTTCTGCTTTATATTGGGTTGGGGAGAATGAGTCGGCGCCGAAAATCAAAAAAATGTCTAAAACTTCTATTCGACTTCGTCAAATAATATGCGGTTGATATCAGTAGAATGGTTAACTAATTCTCTACAAAATGACATTTAAAAGAAAATTCAAACAGCGCCTCCGCTCAAGAAAAAGCCATTTTTTCACAAAAACTACAAACTGTGATCTAGAAAAAACCATTGGTGGGATCTTCCTGCAAATTTGGCAACTTAAGTAATTGAATGTGCTCTATCTTTTTTATATAAACACCAAAGAAGGTTTATGTGAAAGAAACTGTTCAAATGATGAGTCGGACTCTTTGCCATTTTAACCAGCTGCGTTTGGAAGTTCATAAACTCCACGAAAGAAAAGCTTTGTGGAATCTCTCAAAAGTCATTTTGTAGAGAAATAGTGGATCCTTTTGATGAAACCAAATGTATGTTTAAAGAAGGCTTTATGTGTGCAAAAAGTCCCTTTAAAGTTGGGCGCCGACTCATTCTCCCCAACCCAATATATAGTAGATTTTGAGTTTAAACTCTAAAACATCGATTTACTAAGATGTAACCAGTAAATTACTGTATTTGAATCAAAAAGATTTCTAGTAATGTTCTTTCTTTGATGGTAAAGATCCTCAAAAGGGTAATGTTCATCTATTGGAGTGGAAATTTTTAATTGGCGATAATTTGAAAAGGAAAGCCGAAATTTACATAAAAGTAAACTGAAAAGAGAAAGAATTTTGATGAGAAAAGTATTGTTTTCGCTTTTTTTATTGATCTTTTGAATATTTGGTTTATTTTTAAAACAATTTTATAACCAATGCGCTTATTTTTTTGCTCGTTAACCAGTTTCTAAAAGTTTACGATATTTCAATAGACTTTTAAAGTTTTTCTCTTAAAGAATTACTCTTTAATGAACTGAAACTAATAAAATAAAGTATAGAATTGTAAATTAGATATGTAAATTTTGGGAGTGGGACAAATGCGACCTTTCTTTTGCGCACCCGGACATTTGCGCACCTTTTTTTCCGCACCTTGCCCATTAGCGCACCTTTTTTCGCGTTTTAAAAAAGCTCTAAAAAGCTAAAAAGCTAATATTAACCAATTTCTATTCCAAAAGTTGTTTTTCTAGGTAATTTTAGGGCGTAGAATCGAAATTTTGACATATCAGAGCTTGTGGAAACAAAAGGACGGAGTTATACAAAGAGAAAGATCGACAAAGAAAGTTTTCTTTAATTTGATCTAGCCGTTTTTTCTTTCAAATTGGTTCCACACGCTCTGTTATATAGATACTTTATTCAGGACCTGAGATAAAGTGCGCTAGATTTAAGCTTAAAACACATGAATTCATACACATAACACGAGAAGGGTCGATAAAAAGAAACACGGTATAATAGATGTAAAATGTGGGTAGCACAGATAACGTCAAGGAGCCACTAGAGCTTCAAGCTCAAGATCAAGATCATCTACAGATAATTTAAAGGTTTCGAGACTATTGGACTCTCTCAAAACTCTGGGGAATCAATTCCAAATTCTGGCAGTTCTTATTGGAAAAGAGTTATAAACAAACTTATTGGAGGTAACTGGAATTTCTAAAACGAAAGAACCTCTCCTTGAACTAACCGTGGGATTAACTTTGAATAAATCTCGAAAAAAAGGGATAGGTTCTGTTTTTTTCTTTAATCATTTGCATCAAATCATTCTTACCTTCTAGTTTTGGGCGAGGAACAAATTCAGAGCAATTCTCAAATGTGAAAACAGCGACCGAGTTCAACTGAAGTCGTTCCTCGCCCTCTCTCCTAGCTTTGAAAAACAAACGTTCAATGTAGCTTTACTTTAAGAATCTACATCAAATTGGCTACAAAATGAGCTATTAGGAAAAGAGTTATAAACAAACTTATTGGAGGTAACTGGAATTTCTAAAACGAAAGAATCTCTCCTTGAACTAACCGTGGGATTAACTTTGAATAGATCTCGCAATCTCGTTATGTCAAAATTTCGATTCTACGCCTTCAAATTACCTAGAAAAACAACTTTTGGAATAGAAATTGGTTAATATTAGCTTTTTAGCTTTTTAGAGCTTTTTTAAAACGCGAAAAAAGGTGCGCTAATGGGCAAGGTGCGCAGGAAAGGTGCGCGAATGTTCGGGTGCGCAAAAAAAGGTCGCATTTGTCCCACTCCCGTAAATTTGAGAAAAAAGAGAAATAAAAGTCGTTTCAATTAGTGAAAGTGGGACGTCAATTGGTTTTAAATTAAAAAAAAACGGTCAGGAAACGAGAGTGAAAATTGGACATAAGAAAAAAAAAAGGGAAAAGAAAGGCAAATGTCAACAAATTTGTCATAAATTACGACAAATCAAGAAAAAAAAATTGGAAAAAGGAAAAAGGAGGTCTGATGATAAAGCAGAGAATTTTAATTAAACACCGCCTCTCACATTTCATTTTTCAGCTACTCATAGCTTTTTCTTGACGCAAATTCGTTTTGCCTTTTTTGTGAGTTATGAAAAATTTGGCTACACCTAATTGGAAAATAATTGAAAATTCTTGAGCAAAGATTTTTTGATGAAAACGATTTCGATTTTTGAAACGTAAAGAAAAATTTGCGTGATTTCTTTTAAACAAAAAAAAGTTTGTAGGGAAAGCTATAGTAAGGTGCATCAAGGTGCTCATAAAGCAAAACAGCGCACTCTTTCTTCACCAAATCAACTCTCGTCGAACAAATCTCAATTCGAGCCGATGTATCAGCTCCATCATTTGCTATTCCAAGGTAAAGCTAAACAAAAATTAAAACCATTCCTTTCAAACACCTTACAATTAGATTCTTTACTTTTAAATGCTAAAATTCAAGCAGTAATTTGGGAGTAGGTTAGTTTCCGCAACTTTTTTTTTTGCGCAACTCGTCATAACTTTCTTCTAAGTAAGCCAATCTTTATGATTTTGATTTCATTTTGTAGATCTCAATAAGTGCAACAAAATGAAACTAAAAGCAAAAAGATTGGTCTACTTAAAAGAAAGTTATGACCAGTTGCGCAAACAATCCTGTTGCGCTAATGACCCTGTTGCGCAAAAAAAGTTGCGGAAACTAGCCTACCCCAAATCTTTCTATAAATCAATAAAATTATGAAATGTAGAAAAAAATGAAGAAATTCTCCGTTTGTAACATCCGGCTGCCGATTATGGCGGATAAAATCTCACTCACATGCTGACTTCAATGTACTACTCAAAATTTTTACTTTACTTTATCGAAATTGACTCAGGAGAAATTGAGATAAAGTTTTGAAATATAAAATAAAAAAATTAATTGTGGGAAATTGTGGGAAATTGAATAGTTGAGCTTCTGAGTTGAACAGGCGTTCTCACCAAAATTTTCGCATTTCTCTTTGGCCTCAACAATTGTCTAGGCAATAAATCGCGGTAAATGTGTGGGAAAGAAAGAAAAGGGGTGAAAAGGGAGAACCCCTTCACACTAATGGATCTTTTTAATGGTTTTTCGATGATGATTTTATGTGATTGAAGGTAAAAGTGCTTGAAAGTTTAAGAGAAAGAAGATCATCGATACCTTTCAAGAGAAAGATATTAACAAGTGATGTAAATGTTCGGTAAGCTGGATGAAAGATCTTAGACACGTGCCCAGAAAGCACAAGAATAAATAATAGCCTTTGTTCTAGATTTTAGCCCAAAATTCTAGTATTAGGTTGAAAAAAAAGTTCTGACTCAGCTCGCAGCTCATTTTTGAAGCCTAAAGAAAAACTTGCGTTTATTTCTTTCCAAAAAAAACTTTTAGAGAAAGCTATAGTACACTGTTCAGAGCTGAATTCAGTTCTTTTACGTTAGCTTTTTTAAAT